ATATTTCCCATTTTTCTTCTTCCCCTTCTCCCCCACCCCTGTCTCTTATACACATCTAGATGTGTATAAGAGACAGGTATTGAAGCTTCCCGCCAACGCAAAGTGGCCAACTAAATGGCCAACAAATGATTTAAAAAAAATTCTACTGGCCGATGGGCAGCTGCCTCCACGAAAACAAAGACAATCGACGTTAGCAGTTGCTATGCTACTGGATCAACGATTGACAGATGTCACGGACGGCCGCAAGTGATCGAAAACGGAGGAGCACAAGCGTAAATCGGACGTAGTGGGTCATGGCCCCTGAGCAACATCTCTGATTTTCTTGGAGTTTTATTTGCTGGAAATTCGAATTAAAGATCGCCAAAATTGTACAAATACATTGGACGCTGGGCCCGGTTCCCAGCACGTGCTGCTCCCCTCAAGTAGACTGGAGCATTTGTTCCCCCCCCCCCCCCCCAAAAAAAAAAAGAAGTAAAAATAAAATAAAAAAATAAAAATAAAATAAAATTAGAATTAAAAAATATAAAAAAGCTAGGCTACCAGCCGGGCTGCCCGGGTCACCCTATTTTCCCAGGCGGCCCGGCCGTGGAAGGACCAGGGAAGGTCCCAGCCAAAAAAACAAATGAAAAGAAAAGTCCGAAAAAAAACTCAGCCAAAAAAACAAACAAAAAGAAAACTCCGAAAAAAAACTATGTTATGCAAAACATTAAACTGAACAACTTTTGCTTCAGGGTCACATCGAAATTCTTTACCAAATTTAGATTAAAAATCTTAATTAAAAAATATTTTTAATTTTTTAATTTTTTATTCCTTCTTGGCACGGCCGGGCAAGTGGACCCGGGCCACTATGGTAGACTCGATCGCCATGTAGCCTGGGCAAGCCACTCCACTTCCTATCTCTTTGTCTTTTGTTGTGCTGCAAGCATACACGACAACCACACTCCCTTCACTCGGTACACAGGGCTTTGAGACACCTTCAACAACACTTTGCTATTGTTCCTGTCGACAAGACCTCACATAACTTGGCAATCTGTTGTAAAAATTGGTACTTGTCTCATCTATCTGCTCATTTGGACAGCCCTACCTATGATGTGCCTCTTGAGTCTGTCGCAGATATCATGGAACATCACGCGCCTTGGAATCATCGGTGGGGATATACACACAAAGACGCACCATATCGGTACTATGCACTTAAAGAGCAACAACTGGTATGATTTCAAAAACGCAACAGCGATGCTCACACGCCGCATGCTTTTTCGCGGGCACTATCCAACAACGCTTTTGAAAGGATGGACTTCCTATATTCGTAAACAGCAACACAGGTACCCTGCACATGTGACCCGCCTCTCCAGCTGGTTCCGCAGCATGCTTCGATGGTCTATTCATCACCCGCTTGTGACCCTGGCTGCCCCTTTTCGGTTCGCAGCCTCTTCCTCATTGGCCTTGGTTGCTTCTACGATTGATTCCGTGGGAGCAACTCGACCCGCAGCTGCTGTGTCGCCCTTGGTCTTGGTGTGTTCCTCCATGGCATCCGGTGCCACCGCAGCTGTTGTGTCGCCCTTGGTCTAAGTGTGTTCCTCCATGGCATCCGTGACCACCGCAGCTGCTTTGTTGCCCTTGGTCTCGGTGCGTTCCTCCATGGCATCCGTGACCATGCCTGCATTATCACCTGCAGAGTCCCCTCTTCGGGTCTCACCTACGATTGCCCCCCCTGTCTCTGCTTCAGCCACTTCACCACCCCTGACTTCATCCCCCCCGTCTTCACCGCCTATATTTCCCCTGGTTTTATCGCCGTCTGTTACCCACCTTCCGACAACTGTACCACCCCTGTCTTCACCACTCCTACCTCCCCTGGTTTTGTTTCCATCCGTTACCCCTCTTCCTAATCCACAAACCACTTCGTCCACACAGACTCTGTCATCATGTTCTTTCCTAATCCACAAACCACTTCGTCCACACAGACTCTGTCATCATGTTCTGCCCCTGCAGAAAGCCTACTTCGCCGTCCTAGACGCCGACTTCGACCTACTTCCCAACCTCAGCTTACTCCCCTTTCCTCCATCTTTGTTCTTGGACGAAGAAGAACCCATTCATTCTCCCCACCACGGCCCTCCCCAGCATCCCGTCCTTGTCTTTTGCTGCCCAAAGCATCCTTACCACGCCTGCAACGCTCTTCGACTGCAGACCTTTCTGCAACGCGGCAAACAAAAAACAGGAGGGATGATGGCGAGGGGCTATCTGAGGATGAACTTGGCAAGGGGACTGTAGGAGCTCCTGTAGAAAATCCGCCTTATTGGCCTCCACCGAATCTGTGTGGCCTCGCTGCTACTAACATCTGCCTGCAAGCCTATCGTCGAGAACCATGTACTCACTCTGATTTCTTGGCCATTGCTTCCGATCTTGATGCTCAGGAAGGTGAGTTATATGTCGATAACCCAACTCTGCATCCCCCATAGGATAGTAATTACACTAGACATGGGGGATTCAATATCTCTGTTTTGGAGACTGCTTTGATAAGGTGCCGGCTTGATATGCAGTGTGCCCCTTCGGGTGGCGACCCGGACCACTGTTCGCACGTTTGTGCCGATATTCTACATGCTCCTGACCACTACACTGCTCTTGTCCGTGCCTCTGGTTCTTGGGAATTATGGAATGGCGGTGCTATGGTGCAAACTATTACTGCCATCTGTGATCTCGTGCGTAATTACCCTAACCTGCAACTGTTCCAGGTCATTGACCCTATGGGTACCCCATGTACTTCCATGCCCGCCTCTACGCCTATCTCCGTGCCTGCCTCCGTACCTGTCTCTGTACCTGTTTCTGTGTCTGTCTCCTTCCAGATTACTGACTCTATGGGTACCACGTGTACTTCCGTCCCCGCCTCTGCACCTGTCTCTGTGCCTGCCTCCACACCTGTCTCCATGCCCGTTTCTGTGTGTGTCTCCGTGCCTACCTCCATGTTTGTCACCGTGCCTGCTTTAGTCTTCATTCCCCCACATGCTGCACTAACACCTTGTGACCTCCTTCTTTGTGAGATCACTGACACAATTACACTTGGTTGTGGAAAGCATCGACTTTGTCGACATCACTACAACCGTATAATTTTTCGGGCCCGCTGTCGGCAGGGATGCCACCTGTATCCGGATTGTGAACATCCTCTACATCCAGATGCAGTATGTCCCATCTGTGCCTGGGGGCGCTGTAGTGAATGTGCACTTAACTGTGATGGTGAACGCCCCACAATCGTCATGGCCTGCAACCGGCATGCCCTCTGTCGTGCATGCTTCAGAGGTATGGTTAATGCTAGCCACCCTGGCTCCTGCTGTGACGAAGTTGCTTACCTGAATGGTTTTCGTCCTGTAGATCAGCGGGAGGGCTGCTACCATCGCCCGCATCCTTATGACAGTTGTCTTATCTGTCGTGAGGGTCTTACTTAGACGTACAGCGAGAGGGCTGCTACCATCGCCCACATCCTTATGACAGTTGTCCTATCTGTCATGAGGGTCTTACTTAGACGTACCTTGCACCCTGACAAAAATGTGCAGGTGCGCTGAAAAGAGTGTACAAGAATGTGCAAAGGTGAGGAACCCTTCACTAAAACTGCAAAACTGTGAAGAATGCAGTAAGAGAAGAACATAAGTTTGTGTCATCTTACTTTGTTTGTACCCTGCACCCTAACACCCTCAAAAGAAAAGTTCGAAGGGTGAAAATGAAGATGAAAAATGAAGAAGGAAGTGCAGGTGTGCTGAAAAGCGAACGTGGTAGACTCTTCACCAAAACTGCAAAACTGTGAAAGAAAGAAGAATGCACTGAAAGAAAGAAGATGTTGGGTCACCCTTTTTTTTTTTTTTTTTTTTTTTTTCTCCCTCTGCCTATCGGTTTCCTTTTCTGCTCCTCTCTTCCTTGTGTTTAACACCTCTTCCTTCACTCTGCCTCTTTCCCATAGCGTGCAAGTGGGCTGTTATGGCATAYGGGGATGGGGGCAGCTCGCGCTCAACTTCATCAACGTGGCGAGCCTTGTACGTTAGAGGCAYAGTGGAGGAGGGGTTAAGAAGACTGAGAAACTGAATGATTTCAATGTGTCTTTGTTTTTTATTTTTATCCTTTGATTCAGTGTAATTGTTTTTTGTAAAACACTGAAAGAAATAATAGTACTGTGAAACAAAGAATAAGAGGACACTGTTTTGTGTGTCATTCTGGTTTGTCTGTCTCTTTGCCTGTCTGTCCTTTCATTTTTCTTTTCTTCGCTCATCTTATT